CCACATTTTGTCACCATGTACAGGCTGTGTGTTGTCGGCGCAGTGCAAATATTTTAAAATTTGGCGAAACCGATCTCTTCTCATAGATTCAGTGACTAAAATATTTTTCATATCTTGTTTGGAATCCCAGTAAAAGTCCCTTCCAGGTAACTCATTATATCCTGTAACAATCATAATCCCAATTACACATTTCATTTCTTCGTTAGAAATGTTTGGATCCGGTTTATTGCAGAAAAGTGCGTATTTTCTTGATTCGGTCACAAGTAGTTCAATTATTTCGCTATCAACAAACATCTCGAATATATCTAAATAGTCCATATCACTATATTTACTATAATCTGGTTTAGGAAAATACCTGCTCACACGTTCAAAGTCACCTTCAATCCAGGATATTTTTTCTGACCCAGGGCGGACGATATTTGACACTGGCTCCAATTCAGGTACATCGATAAAAGCTCTGACAGCACGAGGAGGGACGATTTCAGCTCCTGGTGTCAACTGTCGACTGCTTAAATTATCTAGAAATCCGCCACCATCTTCATCACCAGAATCCTCATCGGTAAGAACATTCGCACCAGGAGGCTCGATGAATATTTCATGAACGTCCAGGTCTTCTTCATAAACCATTTGCAATGCTTCTTCCAGCGTAAACCCACGCCTAAAAGTAACAAATGAATATACTAGACAATTATTAATACATAAACAAGAGTTCTAGCTTTTCTGATCGCATATATACCACATATTCAACACGCAAGACATTTATACACGTACAATATTTTTTGTCTCCCTAAACCAGCTAGCGTTATCATACGGTAACGCCAATATTTCTGAGGTTACATTATAGAACTTGAAATACTTTCATAACAAAATTTGGTCTAGAACTGAAGAATAACTATCTATAAATACTCTTTTGTAAGTATTTTTCATAACAATTCAAAAAAGAAGTTTTAGTAATACTTACTCTAGACGGATGTCCATCTTTGGAAGCTCGTAACTGTTACCACAATTTTTAAAATTTGAATAAAATTGCCAAAAAGATTTTACGTTGACGTTGTACCCAACAATGTGTTCATTCACATACTAAAAGCGTGTTGACAAATAACCAACGCATTCCAATGGAACCAAAAGCTCTGTTGCCACTTCTAAAATGAGGTTGTCTACCGTTACGATATGGTAACGCTAGCCGTTTAAGGGTTAATTTTATTGCGAATTTTATATCGATTCTTTTATTTGAGCCCGAAAATGATATAATAGTAATTCATTTACTTGTATAAAAATGTACTATTTAATATACTAAATTTTAAAATTTTATTAGTCTATTTTAAAAATATTTTTGAGGTACTTACAAAATTAAATATTAATATTAATAAAATTGCTGTAAATATTTATCCAAAAACCTCGACGCCTATGATCTTCCTCACGTCCTTCCGCTCGACACCGTAACTGTCTATATTTTAAAAATACGTCACTCCGTAAGATTTCCAGATCGAAGTATAGTCAAGTACCTACCAATAAATTTAAAAATCCGATCATTTCTGGTGACTGATGACTCATGCTATTACGTTTTATCTTGTTAGTTACGCATTTGAATTTAAAAAGTGCATCTGCTGTTAAATAGATCTGCCTTGTATAAATCCAAACAGATTTTACTCGATTTGTATTAGTCAGGGGCGCCGAATGAGAATATTCGCTTACAATTAGATTCATCAGAACTGTAATAATTATTTTTTGCTTATATTTTACTTAAATTTAATAATTTTTAAAGCTTAATATATCATTATTTGTAATAATATACTATTTTTTGTTTATATTAGTACTTTGTCTAGAGTAGGAATTTCATTTTTAATATTAAGAGTATGAACTAACTATACGTCTTATTTCTAAATTTTTATGTTTCATTGGTTTTTGACGGAAAGTTCTGTAAACAGTGAATGATAATACTCCTGTCATACTTTCACAACGACTTCGCCTGGAACAATGGTTTTCTCAAATACTCATACACATTAGACACTATTTTTTTGCTTCAAGTCCTAACTGTTTAATTGACTCGATTATGCAAGAGGCTTTAGTGTAACTGTTGTTACACTCAAGAACAGACCTAGAGAAAGTCGTAAAGAGTAACTAGTGATCGACAATAAAGGTTTTTAGGTCAAATAGCTAGAAGCAATCCAACCTCTTCTCATCCGGAGCTCCAAAGGCAACTTTTGCAGACTACAGATAGACATTTCAGTTGAAACAGCACGAAACAGACTTCGTTCCCAAAATTTATTTAGCAGGAGGCAGTTGAGGGTTCCCGAGTTATCCAGACAGAACAAAATTGATCGGCTGAATTGGTGTCTAAAACACCAGAACTGGACAAATGAAGATTGGCAAGATGTCCTTTTTTCAGATAAAAACCAGAATTGGCCTGAGATCAGATGACCGTCGAATTCGGGTTTTAAGAGGTCGAGGCAGACAAGCTAGACTGCAAACTGCCAGATCCGTTCCAAAATATGAAGGAGGAACTGTAATGTTTTGGGGAGGTATTATGATGGGAGAAAAAACACCTTTGCATCCCTTACGACAAAGTTTAACGGGTCGCTGGTATGTCGATTTGGTACTAGAATCCATAGTTAGGCTGTGGCGAGGTGCAGTGGGAAATATTTTCATTTTCATGCACGATATGCCCCTCCGCATACCAGCAGACTTTCTGGAAACTGAAGATGTTATTGTTCTGGGCTGACCTGCCTGCTCACCTGATATTAATCTCATTGAGCATGTGTGGAACCTCATTAAAAGGATTAGAGCTCAAAGTGATAATCCAGGTAAGGCCTGATCAGCTCATTTAAGCCGCTCTAGAAGAATGGGCAAGCTTACCTCAAGAACAAGTTGACGATTTGATTAGAATTATTCCCCGTCAGATTGAAGCTTGTATTGGAGCTAGATGTGGCAACACTGACTACTAAAATGAATAAGACTGTATTTTTCTTTAGTCAACCATTGCAATGTTTTTTATTTGTTCTTGTTTTTTGCGTTTTTGTTAATATCAAGCATTTGTAACATTTGTTTATTGTTTTTTTATAGTAATTAAACTGGTTAAGTATAAAATGTAGTTCATTTTCTGTTAAAAAAATTAGTAACACTTTACAAACTCGAAAATACTGGGTGATTCCATATAAGTTTGGTTGTGTGTATATACTGACATATATAATATGTATATAATATAATAATATGAAATGAATATATAAACAAATATATGAATAATTGTTTTTTTTATATTAAGAAATATATATTTTGTCAAGTTTTATTTAAAAATCCTTTATAAAAGGTATATAATTAAAAAGATCCTTTCGGGCTACATCACAGAACGTTTTCGGACTTCTTCTTAACGTGCCATATCAAGTCCCCTTGACGTTGGCGATTAACCTGGCGAAACTGTCTCTGTCTCGAGCTATTCTAAAGAGTTGCTCAGCTTTCCTTGTTCCTGTCCACTCCCTGATATTCTTCAACCAAGATGCCTGCTTTCTACCAATTCTTCTGCGTCCTTCGATTTTACTCATCATAGTAAGTTGAAGAATATTATATCGGTTTCCCCTTACTACATGTCCAAAATAGGCCATCTTTCTACATTTGATGTTATCAAGCAGCTCGCGAGCAGCATTTGCTCTCTCAAGGACTGCCACATTTGTCAGCATAGTCGTCCATGGAATTTTTAGTATACGTCTGTGCAGCCACATTTCAAAGGCCTCCAGACGATTAATGGTGGATATTTTTAATGTCCATGCTTCGACACCGTGTAAGAGGACTGACCAAATGTAGCATTTAACCATGTGCTTTCGAAGTTGAAGTTGCAAGATATCATTACAGAAGAATGACATCATTTTTAAAAATGTCGTGCGGGCTATCTCGATTCTACATTTTATCTCTTGATCTGGATCTAGTTGTTCAGTAATATGGCAACCAAGATAATTAAAACTGGACACTCTCTGAATTATGACCATCAACATATAATCGTGCATCTTGATGTGCTAAACGATTAAACACCATGTGTTTTGTTTTTGAACAGTTTATGTTTAGGCCAAATTCTCTTCTCACTGTATCAATGGCATTTAAAAGGCATTGTAGTCCATTCATGTCATCACTTGAAATAAATGTATCGTCTGCATATCTGATTGTATTTATCAGAATTCCATTAACTTTCACGCCCCATTCCAAATTATGCAGCGCTTCTTTAAATATTCTATCTGAATATAAATTAAATAACAGTGGGGATAATATACAACCCTGTCTGACACCTCTTTCTATTTTACAAATTTCTGTCGATTTTCCGTTTATGCAAGCTGTCGCTCTTTGACGCCAGTATAACTTTTCTATGAATCGTATGTCTTGACTATCAAGTCCTTTATCTTTTAATATTGTAATTAATTTGTGATGCTGTACTCGATCAAAGGCCTTTTCATAGTCAATAAATACAGCAAAGACGTCTTTCCTTTGATCTCGACATTTCTGCAGTAATTTCTGCAGACAAAAAGTCCATTCTCAGTGTATTATTACCAGGTATACATGAATCAAGACAATAAATATCTGAGTTAAAACCCTTACAAAGTTACAAAACTTGTTGTGTTACATTATTATTGAAAATATGCTGTGATGTTAAAGTATTTAACAGATACCCTGCATGGCAACGTAGGGTTTAGTAGGCTGACATTGCCATGCAGGGTATCTGTTAAATAACATCACAACATATTTCCAACAATAATGTAACACAACACATTTTTTTACCCAGATATTTAGTGGCTTGACTCATGTATACCTGGTAATAATACACTGATGATGAACTTGTTAGTCCGAAAACGTTCTGTGATGTAATCCGAAAGGATATTTTTAATTATGTACCTTTTATAAAGGATTTTTAAATAAAACTTTGTGATTCGTGGTATGTTTGGTATGTTTGTATGGTTGGTACAGCTAACTACAGGAATTTCATTTTTCTTGTGGACTATAACTTTTTGTTGTTTTAGGTAATATTTCCTTTTCATGAAGATCTTATTCAGCCAGCTTTCTGGGATAAACACACTAATATATTACTAGGAGAAGTCAGCCAGTTTTATGAATATCCTTCTAAAGAATTGCTACCAAATTTAGTTCTGCAGCAGTTACACTTATGTGATAAAATAGAAGAGGAAAACTAATAAAAACAGATCCTAGGGTTTAACTGTGATTTCTCTGGTGCATTGAAATGAAATTTGTATACTACTATCATATTATGGAAACTTACAGAGATGGGAAAGCTGTTTAACATATTTTGCATCAAATTTCAATTTTGATAATAGTGATAATACGCCACAATAATAGTGGTAACGTAATGTCATCATTTCTTATGAAGTTTACTATGGTCCTTTCTAATATTTTTTGATACTTGCATTGTATTCGCATAAAAGTTTCGTTCACATTGATAAAATTTTATCAGTGTTCTATTCTACTTGATCCAAATCATTTCAATTGCATTGAGTTTGCAATTATCTTTCTGATTTCATATTCCTGATTAAACATACTACAAACCTTTTATACCTTTTATTATATTTTACAAAATTTTATAATTCGAAGGCCCAATATAGAGTTTTGACAATGATTCTTCATAATTTTTATCGCCCGAACTAAAACATTGCGTGATTTATAAACGTGTGTTACTAGTTGATGAATCCGTTATCAACATTACTCCAGCTATCATAGTTTATTTTTTAAATTTATATAAAAGTAAAATATGGAACTGAATCGATTTCAAGAGTCCATTTCCTTTACCACTTGAACACCGCAGCTTTGTGTAAAATGCATTATAATGCATAATATCATAATTTCCGAGAAAATGACATTTTTCTAGTAGGAACTTTCGATTTCATGATTTTCCTTCACATAACTTTTAATGGTGGATCCTGATACATTAGATACAGAAAAACTTGGATTATTATTTAATATTAAAAGTTATTTGAAGGAAAATCATGAATCTGAAAGTTTCAGTTAGATAACTAAAAAAATAACAATTACTCAAGACACTATGATAACTAAATATCGATGGCGGAAAAGCAGGAACTCGTAAGTAGCTGATGATGATTTTATAAGAGACCAAAAAAACCGTATCATTTTTCATTTAGAGCCCATCTTATTATGTTTTTTGTGAAATGCTTACCTTTGGTGAGCAAAATAAATCAAGCAAATATTTTTTAGAGTAATTTTGAATTTAAGTAAAATGACACTAGTTACGAGGTAATGTTTTATCTAAGAGTTCACTTACGAGGTAATGCTCACATTTAAAATAAGAGAAACAACTTTATGTCTTTAATAATAATAGCATAGTAATGTTGTCTTAATTCAAAAGTATCAAATAAATTCTGGAAGAAGTTCTTAATATTAATTACTTAATAAGACAACATATTAATATTGTCTTAATTCAAAATTATTAAATACATTCATATGGCTGAATTTGTCTAGCTTCTTTGTGATTTTAGGTAATCACTTGGTAATCTTTATTTTTCAAATGTGTTTCTATTACACTTCGAACCGAGTCACACTCCATCTGAGTGTGACCGTTGTCAAAAAATTTTTGAACAATCATCACCATCATCATTCTATCTTTACAACCCTACGTAGGTACGTAGCCCCCTCAAGAATTTCTCTCCAGTCGTCCCTATCCATTGCCTTTCTCCACCAAGCACGTATTCCCATATTTCTCATTTTTTGAACATTTAATACCTTATATTTGTCAGCTAGGTAAAGTAGGGCATTAGAAAGTATTGAATTTCTATTTTGGGCAGTACCGCCGTGCGAATATATAATAATAGGTAATTTATCTTTGTTCAAAAATTCTCCCTCTAGGTATTCTACCAAAAAAGAGGCATAGGTTGAAGTTTGGCCTTCAGCTTCTGTTTTATTAAACCAATAGCAAACAACTTTTATTGCTACTAAGTTATATAATGTAAAGTTGTGACAACACAATTTAGTCTTATAGTAAAGTGCGCTTGCAGGTATTTGTGGCGACAACTTCACTGCTTGAACCTCCTCCTCCTAAGTGCCTTCTCTATTGAGGTTGGCGATCAATATGGCAAATTTCTCTCTGTTCTGGGCTTGATGGATTAAGTCATTTCCTGTTGTGTGAGTCCAATCTCTGATGTTTCGGAGCCAGGATTTCTTCTTTCTTCCTATACCCCTTTTACCCTCGATTTTGCCTTCTAATATTACCTGGAGCTGCTTAAATTCCTTATGGCGCATTATGTGTCCTAGATATGACGTCTTTCTAATTTTGATTGTATTAACCAGATGAGGTCGTGTGTTCATTATTTTCAGTACCTCTTCATTTGTAGTTTTGCTGGTCCAGCTTATTCTTAGCATTCGGCGGTACATCCCCATGTCGAATGAATTCAGTTTGTTGACGTCATACTGTTTTAATGTCCAGGTCTCACAGCCATATAGTAGTAGAGACCACACATAACACTTTAGTGTTCTTAACCTTATTGTGATTGATAGCTTGGGGTTACAGAGCATTTTACGCATGTTCATGAAGCCAGATCTTGCTATTTCAATACGTCTTCTAATTTCTTTTGAGTGTCTAGCTGACTGTTTAGCTCTCTGCCCAGGTATATGAAGCTTTGGGAGCTCTGAAAGGTGATACCATTGATTTGTATGTTGGGTGTAATTTGTTCATGGGGGTTCTTGTGGAATACCATGATTTTGGTTTTGGAAAGATTAATATCCAAACCTAGTCTGTGACTTTCTTCTGATAGTATGTTCATCAATATTTTTAGTTGGTCTTCTGTTTCTGCTAATACTACGGTGTCATCGGCATATCTTACATTGTTAATGATGATTCCATTGACTCTGGCACCTTCAGGGCGATCTTCAAGAGAAGCTCTGATGATATTTTCGGCATAGACATTAAATAGAAGAGGGGACAGAATGCACCCTTGACGCACTCCTCGTTCTATGTTTACATACTTGGTATTTCCGTTGTCTGTTCGAACACATCCTGTGTGGTTCTAGTATGTATTGCTTATTATAGCTATGTCGTGTCTGTCCAGCCCTACTTCTTTTAGCACCTCAATCAATGCTGCTTGAACATTCATCGTTATTAAATGACATTCTCATTTTAATGCTTTTTTCTTGTCTTGTTCTTTTTCAGACCTTCCCAAATTTTTCTTTGAAATATGTTTGTCGTAATTCTTGTTCGAAATTGTCATTTTTATACATAAAACAAATATCGCATCGATCTTTGCGAAGATGAAACAAAGAAATGTTCATCTGATTTGCCACGTTCTTGAATAGTTTTAGAGAAAGTACTTTATGATTTTTCTCTTTGCACCGTTTCTCGTAAATCTTGTATACATCAACCCATGAGTGAAATATTGTTCCAGATACAATATATCTGTAGTTTTCCGATAAAAGTGGGATGTTTATTTAGCTCAGTTAAAAATAATTTTAAAAAATTTTTGTCCTCGAAAATATGCTTGTGTTTTGGTCTCGAGGCAACTTCTAAGTCTTTACTGGAACTCATACTTTTTTCTGCTTTCATAGCACAATAGCTCACAGACCATTGCCCCAAAGATAATGCATTTAAGTACATTGTCTTGCTTACAGGCACGGGCACAATATTTACTACCAAGTTATAGTGTAATGTAATAGATCGTCTAGATTCTGCCTCAATAGGACTTCTTTTCTCGCCTATACTGACAGTATTGGCTACAAAAGTCGTGCTCCGGTCCCAATTCATTTGTGACCAAAATTTGGAAAAAAAATTTCTCCCTTTTTGTTCAGAAATCTCAGAACATTTTTTGCTTAACTTTGTTTTGCAAGTACAACAAGGTTTTAGGTGCCTTTTTTGTCTATGTGCATCGTGAAATTGAGTTTCCTAAATCCTAAATATTCTTGTCCGGTCATTCTTAAGTTCTTATTTATATATCTCTTGTTTTTTCCTTTGACCACTTCCTTTTTTTATGATTTCTGTCTTTAATCACTAGAGTAATTGGCTAATTAATTACTAGAATCCGAGTTATTATTACAGATTATTAGAATTCACAGGATCGAGGTTTTTACTTTAGCATGGCTAAACTGACAATGGACCGCAGGAGTGTGACGTCACATTGTCATTATTACTTTCCAAACAAACGTTGAAATGTCAAATCTCAAGACTTTGTAATTCCTATAAAGTTAACATTTTGCTTCCTCTGCTGCTTTTTCTTGTAAGTATAGTGTTTTTACGATAATACCGTCATAATTCAGAGTTCTATTTCTATGAAATATGGTTTAAAAGTTTAATTAAAGAAATTTTAACCTTACTTTATTGATACTTTCATTTTATTCCTATTAGCATAAAACAATGTGCTTTATTATTTACACAACCTTGTAAAATTGTTGTAGTAACTATTAGAATACTTAAATATTGCAAAAAGCGGAAAGATTCTATAAAATAAATGAAAAAATAACGAAAAATACAAATTATCCACACTAAACAAGGTTTGCTTGGAAACTGAAACTGGCAGATGTCAATCAAATCTACGTCATCACTCCTGTGGTTCATTACGAGGGTAATGCATCAACAAAATGGCTGGAAAAAGTTACGAGGTACCGTTTTCTGTAATTTAAAACCTTCCGGAAATTTTCCCACCTTTAACCACTGGTTAATAGATGCTGCTACTTACTCTAAAACGAAAACAAAAATACCTTATTTTATGCAAATTTGTTATTTGCGAGGTCCTGCTTTTCCGCCATCGATATTGTGTATTATGAGCAATCATGCGTTAGGCTGCGGTGTCAGACTGGTTGAGATGATCTTGAAATTAATTGAGCTTTGCTGGCATATTATTAATCTTTTTTAGAAATTAATCTCTTTAGTTTTTATTTTTATATACAATTAAAAATTATTTAAATTACTACCTCAAGCGATGAAAGTGATTGAAAATCAAACAAAATATTTTTTGACATGATTTTTCTTGACAAAACAAACTCATTTATTCCAATTTGTTGATTTAATGAATGATATTCTTCAATCGTCAATAAGTAATTTATCTTTTATATTATGTCCCTACCTGCTGTAAGTATTTTCTGTAATTGTGGGTAGATTTTTTTTATTTACGGTGACCAAACTATAAAATCTTACTTTTAGTCATTTCACATAAGCCATTTTGACTTTCTTTTGCGTTTCTTGCCTACTATATCACATTAAGTCTCTGTTTCCATTGAATAGGAAGTAATATATATTATTTTCTTTACTGAGCGATCAATATAGAACTATGATGAATATGAACTAAATGATCTGATGGATTATTTACTATTAGATAATATAACAATTTGCTTTGCACATGTTCCAGTAAAGTTCTTAACTTAGGGAACGTTGTCTTTGTCTTGTTTTACATTAATTCTTATTTTTGTGTCAATCCATCATTCAGACTGATGACAAGCTTATAGAATAATAAGCTTTA